TGTATAGCACGTAGAGGAGTGGACCCAAGATACTGCCCTGAGGAACTCCTGATTGTATGTTTCTTCGGTTGGATACTTCAGCGTTGATTTTTATTTCGAATTCTCTGTCTGTTAGGTACGACTGCAGTATTGCGAAATATTTGGCCAGTAGAATTCTTCTGATTTTGTAAAGCAGGCCTGGATGCCAAACTTTGTCAAATGCCTGACTTACGTCGAGGAAGGCAGCACTGCAGTATTGTTTGTTTTCCATAGCTTGGTTGATTATATTACCTGTTCGGTGGCATTGTTATACTGTGGAGTGTGCCTGTCGAAAGCCAAATTGGTGATTAGGGATCCAGTCATTTGGATTGGCGTCGTGATTAATTCTATTGAGGATAAGCTTTTCAAGAAGTTTCGATATTATGGGTAACAAGCTAATTGGACGGTAGCTTGTTACGTCAGTGTGATTTTTCCCAGGCTTTGGAATCATTATTATTTGTGCAATTTTTAATGGGAACGAAATTTGCGGTTGCGATTGTGAGCACTGATTGGCTAGTGATGATGCGAAGGTGGTCTGGACAGCGAGTGCTGTATAATTATGAGTGCTGGCCGCAATATGACGTTGACTTGGCTTGAGCAGAAGTTGAATGCTGTCTGTTAGACAGACGAAGCTGCGTGTTAGTATGTGTGGGTTCCCACAGAATCATCCTCTCCTTTAGCTTTTACTATAACTCAGATGCGTTCATCTTTTAACCCCAGAATGAAGGTTCCTTTAAAAAATTCTCCAGTTAATTTCAAACCACCTTCAGCGTAATGTTCATTATCCTTTTCCTCTAACGCCAGGAGCCTATGTGTATCTTGTGTCCGTAATTCCATTGCTAAGTGATCTAACCCAGCTCCCCATTGTGCTACGGTTTCTGACGGTCCTTGTTTTGAGGAGAACAACAAGCCTGTAGAATCTAATGTCCTCTTTACTAGGTAATTTTCCTCTCGAATATCTTTAATTTGTCTCCAAGTGTTCCTTTCGACGCGAGCTAACAATTTATCTTTTGCATCTCCTTGAATCTTTGCAACTACAAATTTTAACAACAATTCTTGTTTACTTGGATGAACCACTCCAATTGCGGCTTCTATCCCCTCAATAAATTCTCTGAATTGCTTTGGATTACCCTCAAAAGGCCTTGGTATCAGTTCTGTTGCTTGCATAACCGAAATGAATGCCCCTTCTTCATTATTGGAACTTTCATCATCTGCCATGATGAAAACAGTTGCCTACTGTATGTTGTGACTAACCTTTTACAGAGTAGAAAGGTAGAGTAGCTCCAAGCGATGCAGTTCTCGGTTCGAGGCTTGTCCCTGGGGTTGCCTCTCTCCGTATCTCGTGGCACCAGCTGCAGTGGGCGTGACTGCGACTTCCGTGGGGATATCAGGTCATAGTGCGTTTCCAAAGCCTTGTTGCTACCAACTTAGCAAAGTTCTCCTCTCTGAGTAGCGTTGCGCACCGCTTCCTCCTAGGCGTAGACTTTGGAGTAACTCCTTGCTTCTCGGACACCTCTCGAAGCAGGACTCCAGTGATTGAGACTAGCTCTTTCTAACGGGCCCAACTGAGTAGGTTTATCCTTCCCTACCCACCTGAAGACGGAGACAGATCCAGTCTCTGAAACGTCATGGTCTTTTGTCTTTTACATACTAGATGATAGATGAAGTCCAAAATAAGCTAAAAGAAGTACAGTATACACCATCGTCAGAATCCTTTCAAGTCTATCCCAGGACTCCGTATGTCCAGATGGTGTGAACTTCTAAATTGTTGAGCTTTAAAACCAAACGTTTCTTGCGAATCGGATCCAGTTGTTGTCTTCAAAGATATCCCACTTCTGACACCATATAATTATCTTCTCGTTGTCTAAGGTGGATAAGGAACCCACCAAATGAAGACGCTTTCTATGCTCAACAATTATTCAGAGTTTTATTAGAAGAACGTAAAGGATGTATGTAATGTATACTGTACAGATTTTCAAGTCTCCTACTGTTTCCAGTGTTACTGGTATTATACGGGGTTAGTCGAAAAGATGTTACCACTTATATGGATTGGAATTTTGTTTATTTTTTATTAAAAATATTTTATTCAAAGTCCAAATAAAGCTAATACACTCCTTGGTTCTCAATGCATTTGTGCAGATTGTCCACCTACAGTCCATAGCTCGTTGACACATTTCTGTAGGTGTAGAGTGGACAGCCGTTGATATGCGTTCTTTAAGATCATTAATGTTGCGAGGTTTTGTAGCATAGACACGTTCCTGGATCATTCCCCATAACCAGAAATCACATGGAGTCAAGTCTGGTGACCTTGCTGGCCAAGACAAAGGTCCACCTCTTCCAATCCAGTGTTACCAAATGTATCATTGACGTATCTTCGAACTAGTAAGGAATAATGTGGGGGTGCACCATTGTGTTGAAAGTAACCATATTGTCACGTGTTGGGTATGCACGCGCGACAAATAATTTCATGCCGTTTTGGATATAGCGAATTTATTGCACATTCTCTCTCGCATTTACATAATTTACAGTCTCACAACTACTGCCATCGGCAGTGTCACAAATACTTCTCCTGCAGTAATTTCCATTCACTCGATACAACAATGGACTTCAACTCACTCTGGCGAATGCTAGACTGCAGCTGACTGGTTACTCTGGTAATCCTCTCGTTATGTAGCGTCCGCACTGACGACAGAAAACCGTTACGTGATAGCTACCACTGTTGCGTAACGCCGTGTTTACAGGTGTTGCTGGGGAATGCTGCCGAGAGTTGTTTATTGCTGCATAGTAACCGCGGTGTCCCCGGTTACATTACTGTGGGAGATGACGGAGTGTTTACTGGCCTGTTACCATAGCAGCGGCAGTTGCTCCAATGCTGTTACGTCACCGCTGGAAGGGGGGTGTCCTGCATAGCGCAAATACATCACACTGCTCCCTTCTAAAGGTTGTTTGTCCCGAACAGCCTAACAGTGCACCTCTTCGACCTGTCCATCTTCCAGTTAGAGTGTCATCCAAGTATGCCCTGACATCTCGATGGTAGTGAGGTGGAACACCATCTTGTAGGGAAAATCTCTGATTTCCAAACAGCTCTCAAATGGCAGGAAAAATTGATGTCTGAAGTATATTGAGATACACCTGACCACTTACGGTACCTTCAAAGAAGAAAGGACCAATCAAACTGGGCGATGACAGACCACACCCAATAGATTAATTTCCTTGCCCGCGTGAATGTGTGGATTTACAGGAGCCCAATACACACAATTGTGGCGGTTAACGGTACCATTCATTTTGAATTGCGCCTCGTCAGACCAGATAGCTTTTCCTGCAAACTCCTCATCCTCGCGAACCATCCCTTCAAACCATTTGCAGTATTCAAGCCTTTGATCCCGGTCATCCTCGTTCATAGCGTGCAGCAGTCTTGGAATGTACACTTTCCACTTTGCAGCCTTCAGAATTCGCCGTACACTTGATCGGCTTACTCCACTTTCGTGTGCATGCTGATTCACAGATTTTGTGGTGATCGTGTAAAGTGTTGCAACACCACAACACTGGAAGCTGGACTTGTTACTGTCCGTGGTCGCCCAGATCTCTGATTATGCACATCATGAACAGTACTGTCGGCTTCAAATTTATCCCGAATACGGGCAATTGTTTGGCGTGTTGGTGGCTGAGTTCCAAACTCATTCTGCCATTGTCGTTGTACCTCTTTGTTTTCGTACTTCCAGTACCACTTCAGTACAGCCTTGTGTTGCTCAAAGAACAACCTTTCAGCCATTGTTGCTGTCTTCTGCTCGCAGCGCGCATGCGGCACGACACTCACGTGACTCATGTGACCTTCGCCATCTGTTGAGAAAACATTACACTACACTGCCG